CCCCAAAACCCCAAAACCCCAAAACCCCACTATTGTATTATAATAGTATGAATTTGAAATGTTAAGAAATTAATAAATTATCATCGATTATTAAGAAACACAGTTTAAATGGCAACTGCTCAAGGAGCTCCAAGCAAGGACACTCACCACAAAATGTCCAAAAAGATCGCTCAGCTAACCAAAGTTATCTTCCACTTGCATTCTAAAAATGAAGAAAATTCTCAATATCAAAACTCTTTAGTTGGTGCATATGAAAAAGAAATAGAGACAATATTAAGAGAAGCAAATAATGTTATCAACCGTCAAAAGGACGCTATTGAGAAAGCAAAGGAGGGTGGAAATATCAAGGAAAAGATGAGAGAATTAGAGGACAGACATACCCAGGAAAAGAAGGAATCTCAAAAGTAGTTTGATGAATATAAGAACCGAGTTAAAGATCGAGAACAGTAAGTAGAGAAAGATTATCAGTTAAAAGTCAATGACTTTAAGCTTGAGGTAATGGACCTGAAAAAGAAATTTGAGCTTAGAGTCGAGGATCTGCGCAAACAAATGGATGACTATAAAAAAAATAATGATGTGCTCGAGGAACTTAAAAAAGCTCATTAAAAAGAATTGGCTGCTTATATCCAAGAGCATAACAAGAAGTATAATGAACTACTCAAAGATAAGCTCAATATGGAAGATCAGCTTAAATAATAGTTTGAGGCGGAAAAGAACGCTCTTAATAAGGACTGGGAAAAGAAGCTTAAAGAGGCAGTCGAGAAAGCCCGCAAAGAGGAATAGGACAAGGCAAAAATTGATCAGGATAAAATTAAAAAAGATTATGACGGTAAAATTGAGATTATCGATGGTAAGGTGAAGAGACTTGAGCAAGAAATCTAGGAAATGAACAAAAAGCTTAAGGAAAGGGAAATAGTTATAGTCGAAAGAGAGAAGACAATAGTAGAAAGAGAGACTAGAATTAAAGATCTTGAAAAAGAGTTAGCTAAGTTGAACGATATGCTAGCATCTGGGGGCTAGGCTTCCTCTGAATTACAAAAATAATTAGCATCAGTTCAGGAAGAGTTGAGAGCAGCCAAAGAGTAAATTAAATCATTAGAATAGAAGTTGAATGATAAGGAACGAGAGCTGTAAGAGGAGAGAGATAGGCTTCAGAAAGAGATCGATAGGTTAAAGGATGCAATGAGCAAGACATCTGGTAACTTACAGTAAGAATTAGCTTAAAGAGAGGAAGAGATAAATAAACTTAACAAGAAAATCTAAGATCTTGAAAAAGAAATTCTGCGATTGAAACAATCATTGACTTCAGAACAAGAATCAAAGGAATAGATGAAGCGAGATTACGATAAGAAAATCAAGGAACTTGAAGATTAGATCAACATGCTTAGATCTGAGTCTGGTGATACTGTGCAATAGCTTGAAAGAAAGATTAAGCAGATGACAACTGATCATGAGCAAGAAAAAGAACAAATGCAAAGATAGTCCATTAGGGAGCGAGAAGATTTAACTGCAGATTATGAAAGGAAATTGAAAGAACTTCAAGATGATTATGAAAGAAAGCTGAGAGAACTTGAAAGCAAGAAAAATTCTGAGTATGAGACATTGAAATCTTAGATGGAATAAAAAATTAGAGACTTGGAAGAATTACTCAGAAGAGAAAGAGAAAATCTAGAAGGAAATGCTAAGGAAAGAGAATTAGCATTGAAGAGAGAAGTGGAGGAGTGGAAGTAAAAACTAGCTGACAAGTAAAGAGAACTTGATGAGGCTAAACGTGAGATTGAGAAGCTAAATTAGGATAAGAGAGACCTGAATGGGGAAATAGATAGACTTAAAAGCTAGATCAATTAATTAGAAGACACAATCAGAAGATTAGAGGAAGAACTCAGAGTTGCTAGAGAAAACATGGAATCAAACCATGGTTAGTTATCGCAAGAGTTAGAAAGACTGAAGTAGGAGCTTGAAAAGCAACGAAAAGAATTCCAAAATGATATAAAGGATATAACCGCTAGATTGAAGTCACAAAAAGATGAAGAACTTGAACAGCAAAAACTCAAATACGAGAGAATGCTAGATGAATTAAAGAGAAACCAAATGAATGATAAGGAGTTCATCTAAAAAGAGCTCTAACGTAAGATCGATGATCTAGAACGCTAACTAAGAGAACTTAAAGAGACCCATTAAAGAGAAAAGTAAGATTGGGAAAAGTAGATGTAAGATTTGAAGGATATGTATGAGAAGAGAATCAGCGATATAAAGAACAACCTGGAGGGAGATTCCCGCAAAATTCGCGAGGAGTACGAAAGAATGATCAAAGAACTGAAGGAGAAACATGAAAAGGAGTTACAAGAATTGAAAGCTAATTTGAATAAGGAAAAGGAATATGCTGTGTAGAAGGAGATCGAGATCAGAGAAATAGCTATCGAAAAGTTGAAGAGTGACTAAGAAAAGCTCATTGAAAATCTAAATCAAAATTTTGAAAGATCTCTCGAGAGAAAGTAAAAAGAACATGATCAAGCAATGGCTGCTATTCAAAAAGAAAGGGAAAGAGAAAATGACGAGGCAAGGCTAAGAGAAAAGGAGCTATTAAGGAAAATAACTGAGCTTTAAAGTGAGATTCAGAGCTTGAATAAGCAAATCTAAGAGCTAACATAAACTGTGAAAGATAAGGACTATGATATAAGGCAAATGTAAGAAAGAGTGAAAGAGGCTGAGTCAATAATGAAGGAGGAAAAATAAAAATGTAAGGAGAGAATTAAAGAAGTCGAGGATCAGTTCAACATCAAAGAAAAGTCTCTAATGGACAAGCTGAAGAAGGAAATGAACCAACTAATTCAGGAGCAGATAAAGGAAATGTAAGAGATGCAAGGAGAGTTTGCTTAAGCAACAGAGCTCATGGATCAGAAATACAGGCAACTCAATGATAGGTTCCTTGAGTTGCAGGAACTATATGAGAACAGGCCAAGCAGACCAGAGGATTTGGAGATGATCCGACAGCTTTAAGAAGAAATCATCCAAAAAGATAATGCATTGAAAAAGGCTGCTGAGGATATGAAGTTCTATAAATTAGAGCTTATCAATAGAGAAGATAATTTCAATAAGATGTTCGGAACGAATCCTAATGTGGGAGTTATCAATCCCTTAGGTGCTAAACCATAAACAGGGAAATAGACTATGATGGTAGGTGGAGCAAAGTAAATGCCTGGATTAGGTATGGGCTTAACTGGCAATGCTCCTGTTAACATGCTTGCAGCCAAGGACGGTCGTAAAAATTCAAGAATGGTCTAACAATGAAAGCTTAAATTAAACTCAATAGATACTTCTACAGTATTAGAATGCTGATGTTTGGCGATATTAATAATATATACTAATCAATAAGCTCTTCATAATTTGTGCAATATTAATTCTGAATCTTGGGCTTGGGGTTTTGGGGTTTTGGGGTTTTGGGG